GGTCCGTGGAGGGCTTGAGTGCAGATGGATGCCACCACCTGGGCTGCGGGGGCCGGGGTGGGGATGGGCAGTGCAGGAGGAAAGGCTGGGGTGTCTTGGAGCTGGCTCTGTGTGACCTTGCTCTTGGTCCCTTTAGCTCCATATTTAATTTTCTCCATCAGTAAAATAAGGGGCCTACCTCAGTGATGTCACCAAGAGTCATATCCAAAGTGCTAGGGCACCCGGGGCTTTCGTGCACTCAGTCCCTCCACACACACCGGAGTCAGGACAGCAGGGAAGCTGCCCGGAGTCCCATCTGTGGTGAAGGGATGACCCTGATCTCTGGAGTGGGTTGGGAGGTGACCCCACGTTGTGTAGTGGACAGCTTGTTTCATTTAGCACTTACCCCCTCTCTACCAGGTAGACACTATTAACCCCACGTTACAGCTGCAGAAAGGGTTCAGAGAGGTGCCTCCCCTTCCCCGAGATCACGTGGCATCATTCAAACGTGGGTTACTGAGTCCTGTGATCTCCCGCCCTGCCCTGCAGTGTGTATTCCATGAGGACTGCACCCTGTTTCCGGATGGTTGTACATCTGGCACTGTGGGGAGCAGGGCCGGGGGTGGGGCTGGACTCTGTGTCTTCCATTTCTGGCTTCAGAGTGTACCTGCAGCATGGCCTTTGGAGAGGCCCTGGGACCTCTGCTGACCTGAGGTGAATTCCTGAGGCTCCCTCCCCAGTTCAGCTCAGACCTGTTGAGTGGGCTGATGGAAGGGGAATAGTAATTTCCCCCTGGGGCTCAGAGCATTTCTGTTGGCAGCTGCTGGAGCTGAGGCCCCAAGGCATGGGAGCAGGCCAGAGCTGAGATTCACAGATGCACCCACCTCTGGCTGTGTGGCTTTGTGCCACTCACTTTCCCTCTCTGAGCCTCTGCTTTTGGTCTCTAGGTTCTCTGGAGGGCACTTTCCGTGGAGACAGGTGCTGCAGCAGCCTGTGTGGGGAATGAGGGAGCACGGGTGTCGGCCCTTTCGGCAAACTTTAAAGGTGGGGGGGCGGGGTTCCTCTGCAAACTCGGTATGTTTTCAGAACTACCTGCCCCCTACCCAACTTATCCTCTAGCCAAGGGCCAGTGAGTCATAAGCCACTGATTTTTTTTTTCCAAAGTGTAACATTCTCTCATGTACTAGAATTTCATTATCTCACAAACCTCACTGTATCATCAGATACAGTGGCAAACAAGGGTTCCTTCTGGTCCTACTTCTGCTCTTCCCCAGGGCTACCCGGGCCTTCTTGGTCCCTCTAGAGAAGATTCATGAATATGTACATAGGCAGGGATATTTCTAAGTGTGGTTCCTTTTTTTTCTTTTTTTTTTTTTTTTTTAACTAAAAGAAGCTACATTAAGGCTTGGGGATTTAGCTCAGTGGTGGAGCGCTGAGTTCGGTCCTCAGCTCTGAAAAAAAAGAAAGAAAAGAAAGAAAGAGAGAGAGAGAGAGAGAGAGAGAGAGAGAGAAAGAAAGAAGCTACATTAATTTATGTGGTGCATGTGCATGTATATGTGTGTGGACACATGTGCCATGGTATGCATGTGGAGGTCAGAGGACAACTTGAGAGAACCAGTTCTCTCTGTGCCGTGTGGGTCCCTGGGTGAAATTCAGGTCTTCAGGCTTGACAGTAAATGCCTACACCCACTAGGCCATCTTGCCATCCCTGCCTTATTTTTATACAGAATGTGTTGTCTACAATTTTTGAGTTGCATGCATGTATGTGTCCCACACTGCACAATTCACCCATGTCAAATACACGTAAGTGAAATTACTATATTCGGAACCATCATCACAGTCAATTTTTACCATATTTTATCATATCAGAAGGACTCCCCGTACCCCTAAAGCCACGCTCCTTGCTGTTCTCGGCCCTCCCTGAGGCTGTCAGCCACTAATCTGCCTCTGTGCCTGTAGAGCCGCCTTGTCATGGCGTAGGCGTTCTTTTGTGACAGACTTCTTCCAGTTGTGTTTTTGGGGTTCTCTATGTTGCAGGGTGTATCAGTCCTTTGTATTGCCAAGTAATATTTCATTTCATAGACATACTGTATTTTAGTTAGCAGTTGATGGACATGAGTTATTTCCATATTTTGCTTATCATGGGTAATGTGGTTGTCAACAGTCTTGTGCAAAGTTTAGTGTGCATGCACTTTCCAGGTTTTTTACACTTAGGAATGGACTTGCTAAGGTCACATGGCTACTCCAGGTTCAAGTAGCTAAGGAACTGGTCCTTTTCCAGACTTGACTTTGTCATTTCCTTTTAGCATCCACACCGACACAAAAGAAATAAATGTTAAAAAAATTTTTTTTTAAACCTGCCTGAAAAACTTATAACTGAGGGTTATAACTCTCTGCATCCTTGACAACACTTGGTATTCTCTACCATTTGGCTTAGACCACCCTAGCAGGAGTGAGCCATCTCACAGTGGCTTTAATGTGACATGCCGGTAGCTGATGACGCTAACCATCTTTTCACAAGCGTGTTGGTCATTTGTATGCTTGATTTAGGTGAAGGTCTGCTCACATCTTCTGCTCATTAAAAAAAATTGTCATTTTACTATTGAATTGTGAGAGCATTTACACATGGTACATATACATCCCTCTCAGACAAACCATTTATGAATATTTTCTTCCTGATTGTGAGTTGTCCTGTCCTTCCTTCCTTCTTGTCCTCCTCCTCCTTCCCTCTCCTTCCTTCTCCCTTCCCTTCTCTTATTCCCGGTGCTGTGGATTAAACTGGGGCCATGTGCATGCTAGGCAGGTATTCTACCACCGAGATACAGAGGTTCATCCCCAGCTGGTTTTTTACTTTTTTTTTAAAAGACAGGATCTCACTAAGTTTCTCAGGCAGGTTTAAAAAATGTTTTGTTTTTTTTTAAACATCTATTTCTTTTGTGTAGGTGTGATGGGAACAAGGGGACACTTGTGGGAGTTGGTTCTCATGTGGGTTCTGGGGATCCAATTCAGGCCATTAGTCTGGCGAGCAGGTGCCTTTACCGCCTGAGTCATCCTGCCAACCCTACCAGGTAGCTGTTGACTTTTGATCCTCTTGCCTCAGCCTCCTGAGTAGCAAAGATTACAGGTCTGCATTCCAAGGACAGGACAAGTCAGTCAGTCAGTCAGTCAGTCAGTCAGTCTCTCTCTCTCTCTCTCTCTCTCTCTCTCTCTCTCTCTCTCTCTCTCTCTCTCTCTCTCTCTGTGTGTGTGTGTGTGTGTGTTTCTCAGGAGAGTCTTGGTTTTTTTTGTTGTTGTTTTTGTTTTTCGAGACAGGGTTTCTCTGTGTAGCCCAGGCTGTCCTGTAACTCACTCTGTAGACCAGGCTGGCCTTGACTGAACTCAGAGATCCACTTGCCTCTGCCTCCTGAGTGCTGGGATTAAAGGTGTGTGCCACCACCATGGTTCGGCAGTCTTAATACATCACTCAGGCTAGCCTCGAACTTGTGAGCTCCTGCCTTGTCCCCCTGAGCCCTGCCTTTTATTTTCTCAACAGTGTCCACTGAAGCACAAAGTGTCACATTTTGATGAAGTTCAGTTTGTCTGATTTTTCCTATGGCTTGTACTGTCCATGTCACATCCGGGAACCATTGCCTAATCCAAGGTCACAGATTCATTTCTGTCTTCCTCTAAGAGTTCCAGTCCCTACATTCTTCAGGTTGTTTTTCTCCTAAGCAGTAAATCTATGCACTGTTGGCACAAGAGCAAGTAAGAGCATAAAAGGACATTCTCATTCTTTTTTATAGCTGTATAATACTCAATTTTATGGATATACTATAATTTATTTACCCCATTTTCCATTGATAGACATTCAGAATCCTTCCAGTACTTTGCTTTCACAAGACTTCAGTGAACATCTGCAAATATATATAGATGTCCACCCACACTAGTGAGTTTAGTGGGAAGTAGACTTGCTGGGTCCAAGAGTGTCTGCTTTTGGACATGATGATGCCATATTTCCCTCTACTGACATGGGGCACCAGCTGTCACTACCAGCAACTTGTCTAAAATGTGAGCCATTTACACTGGGCGGCGGTGGCACACGCCTTTAATCCCAGCACTCAGGAGGCAGAGCCAGGTGGATCTCTGTGAGTTCGAGGCCAGCCTGGTCTACAGAGTGAGATCCAGGACAGGCACCAAAACTACACAGAGAAACCCTGTCTCAAAAAAACAAAACAAACAAAAAATGTGAGCCATGTGCTGATCACTGTGTGCCATGTATCAAACATTCAAACGTGTTTTGGTCCCTAAACAACGATCCTGAAAGCCAGAGTGAAAATGTATACCTTACAAGGATCTAAGGTCACATGGTCTGTGTGTCTCTTGACTCTTCACTCTCCACCCTCCCCCATTCCCCCCATCCCCCCCACCCCCGTTCAGTCCCTGTATCTTCAGAGGGCCTTGGCCACTTCTGAACTACCAGAAGGATGAGATTGGCAGGTGTGCTTGGAGAGTTAGAGATCACACTTATGTGGGCACAGAAAGTATGCTCTACCACTGAGCCACAGCCCAGCCTAGAAGTCTAACTTAAAGTCAGGCAGGACTGGGCTCAGTCCTGGCTCAGGCAGCGTCTTTGGGCAGGCCATTGCCTTCCTGGTGCCTCAGCCTCCTCTGGTGAGTGCTGCCCTGTCTTACAAAGAACACTAATGGCCATCATTTCCCCTGTTGGAAAAGCAGTGAGAAATAAAAGGAAAAATATGGTGGCAGTGTGTGTGTGTGTGTGTGTGTGTGTGTGTGTGTGTGTGTGTGTGTGTGTGTGTGGTGGGGGGGGAAGAGGAGGGAGATAGAGAGAGAGAGACAGAGTCCTTCCAGGGAGGAAGACATTTGAATGGAGTGTGGAGGGGTAGCTTTGAGCGAGCAATGATATTCCAGGCAGGAGGATGGTGTGTGACAAACATTTCCTGGGGAGACCCAACACACATGTCTAGTCTACTCACCCCAGATAGGGAAACTTCAACAGACCAGAAGTACAGATACCACTAAAGTCCAAATTGGTGAACTAATGAGTTTTATTGGGGTTACTTACAGAAATATGGGTGAGGGGTTACTTATAAGAGCAGAAATGACTCAGAGACATCTGCATCACCAAAGCCCACCCCAACATGGGTGACAGCTCACAAAGCTAGGACCCTGGAGCACACTGCACAGCCTGAAGGCAGCTCAGCAGGTTGGAGAGTGTCCTTTCCAGGTGCCTCAGTTGGTCTAAACCTCTTCCTGGTTTCTGCTTCTTCTAGGCAACTGGTTGGGCCTCACAGTCTTCTTTGCAGCTCACCTTCCTTCCTTCTGTCTGAGAGGGAAACTTAGTTTCTGTTGCTTACTCTGGTAGGGAGGGCCTCATGGATCTGGTCAGTTTCAGGGACTTCCTGAAGCTATTTTGAGTTGTCTGGCTCTTATCCTCTTTCTGCCCCACTCTTTTGCAGTAATCGCTGAGCCTTGGAGGGGGTGACTGTAGGTGTCCACCTATGGCTAAGAAGTAGTTCACATGTCACAGTAACGGTTCTCAGGAGCTTCCACAATGGTCATGAGTGAGCTGATACAACATTGATCCATGGGCATAAGTTTAACAGACATATCACATCCATCTAGGAAAAAAAAAAGTTGCTTTCCCATTGGGACCTATGACTTCCCCAGCCACAGACTTTTATTCTGGCTTACAGTACCAGGCTGGAACTCCTTCTTGTAGAATGGGCCTTAAATCCAATTGGAAGGCTGTTGGTCTCTCTCAATAGCGGAGCCACTACTATATGAGCAGGCACATCCTGCTTGGGGTGGTGGTGTTTTCACATGAAGGGTCCATAGTCAAGCAGGGGTGGTGGTGGTAGGAATGTCAGATTCGCCTTGATCCCAAGGTGGGAGCTGTGGGAGCTGTGGGAGCCACCAGAGTAGCTTGAAAGCCTGGAGCTCTGGCTGACGTCAGATCCATAGCAGCTACGGAAAGGGCCATGGTGTTGTGGGATACTGTATGTTGCTGTGATTGATTTAATAAAGAGCTGAACGGCCGATAGCTAGGCAGGAGGTACAGGACTTTCGGCAGGGAGAGGAAGTAGGAGATAATCGAGGCACAGGGAGCCGCCAACGAGACGTGGAGGGAGTTGGACATACAGAATGAAAGAGAGGTAAGAAGCCTCATGGTAAAACCTAGACTAATAAAAGCAGGTTAATTTAAGTCATAAGAGCTAGTGGAACAAGCCTCAGCTAAGGCCAAGCTTTCATAATTAATAGTAAGTCTCTGTGTCGTTATTTGTGAGCTGGCGGCAGAACAGAAAGTCCGACTACACCATGGTGCTGGCAGTCCTGCTCGGCATGTCCCATCTGCAACCTGAACAGTCTTCCCTCTCTAGACCTTATTTCTTCTTGAGGAGCAGCCTGAATAATCCTGAAGAACGAGAGGTCAGGGGTCAGGCAGCCCGGGTTGGTTTCTAGCTCTGCCACTTATGAGCTATATGACCTTGACCATTTTTGTCACTTAGCCTCTCCTGCCTGTAGTTTACTCAGCCATAAAAAGTAGTTGCTGCTGCTTCCTGGGGTCACAGTGAAGAGCACAGGGCTCTGAGGCCTGTGTTGGGCACACAGTGCATGCTCCATGTGGTGGCTGGTAGTAGAGCATGTGTCCTGTCTCTGACTGGGAATTCCAAGGCCTTCTGAGTGAATGGATGCTCAGGCTCTCTGGGGGATCTGGAGGGCTCATCGCTCATCACTAGTTCTTTCAGCAAATGAGTTGTGAGCACTTGCTTTATGCCAGGCCCTAGAAGATATTGTGAGGCCATCTCACAGAACTCTGACCTGACCCAGGGTACTGAAAGCCAAACTCATCATTTCAGATACCCACACTCTCTTCCTGTGTCCTACCTGTCCTGGACCAGACTTCGTAATTGCTAGCCAAGTGCCTTTGTCTCTGAGCCATACTTTCAACTTGGGAATTCAAAATGAAACTTTTTTTTTTTTTTTTTTTTTTTTTTTTGAGACAGGGTCCCACTACATATCTCTAGCTGACCTGGAATTTACTGTGTAGACCAGGCTGGCCTTGATCGCACAGAGATCTGCCTGCCTCTGCCCCCAAGATCTGGGATTGGCATGCACCCCCACATCCAGCAGGAATTAGAATTTTTACCTAGTATCTTATCACCCAGGCTTTTACTGAGCTCCCAAATCTGGATGGAAGGATGAAGGATAACGGGAATGGAGTGAGTTGCCCTGCCCTGCCCTTTCACAGAACAGACCCAGAGAGTGAGTGTAGACGCCGACCCTGAACCGCTAACACATGCTGCTCCCTGGCTCCTGTGGTGCCCAGGGTTGGCAGGTGGTAGGACACCCTTGGATACTGGATGGAGCTCAAAGATGAAAACAGACAGGAAGTGGGTGTGTAAGAGAGGAGAGTCAAGATCCCTCCAGGTGCCTGGCCTGAGCAAGAGACACTGGAGAAGGCCCTTGGTGCGGCAGGCTGAGTGGTGAGGGCTTGGGGCTGTGGACAGGAGAGGAAGGACCAAATGCTTGCTGGACAAGAGCATGTTTTTCCCTGGTCTCACAGAGATTCTCTGGATAAGACTTGCTTTCAGAGCTGTCCAGTTGACTGTTTGGAGGCAGAGAAGAGGCCCAAGCTGTTGTTGTGAACCTGGTGTCACTCTGAGATGACCAGGAGATAGACAAGACCCCTGAGGATGCTAGCATAAAGAGATCTTGTCTTAATTTCAGGCTTTCTCCTTCTGTGGAATCCTTCAACTTTTTTTTTTTTTTTTTTTGGTTTTTCGAGACAGCCTTCAACTTTTTAATATTAGCAATAACTTAAAAATTGTAGGGGTTGGGGATTTAGCTCAGTGGTAGAGCGCTTGCCTAGCAAGTGCAAGGCCCTGGGTTCGGTCCTCAGCTCTGAAAAAAAAATTATAATACACTCCTACAGGTCCCTGAAACATATCCATAGCCCCCATTGGGCCTGTGGCCTCCTGGTTAGGGTTCTTTGGTTTGTATGAGTGAGTCAGGCTGCCTGGATTGAGTCCCAGCTGTGGGTCCCTATATGAGCTGAGTGACAGCCCTGAAGAGCTTCCGGTTCCTCATCTGGAAAATGGGAACAATCACAGTGCCATCTCCTGGTGACATAGTAGTTTCTGGACTGACAGTTCAAGTAAAATATTCATGATGGCTTTTGTCAGTGACCAGGGTGCTTGAGAAGGCCAGGAGAGATCTTGTCTGCCACTGACTTGCTGTGTGAACTCGGCCTGGTTTTAGTCCTCGCTGAGAAAGCAGTTTTTTTCTTGGAGTTAGAAGATGTCCTGGGTGCTTCAGAGGCCTCTGAGTGCCCCTCTAACCAGCACCCTCCCCGCCTCTCTCCTTCCAGCCTCGCCCACCTGCCACTTCCCACCCTCTACCCTGCCACCAAAATGATCTTTCAAAAACCGCAAATCTCAGCATGGTCTTTTCCTGCCTGGAGAAAATTGATGTGATGCCCCATTGCCTTCAGGAATAAGCCCCAGAGTCCTGACCTGGCGTGGGCAGGAGGGGCTGGCCCTCGCCTGTCTTCCCATCACCCCTGCTTGTATTCTAGCCGCATACAGCCTCTGCTCCCACCTCGATGGCCACGTGGCCCTTGGTGCTGGCACCCCCATCCCTATCACAGCCCACATTCCTGCCTTCTCATCTACCCCACAGTTACCCAGTGTCTGTGTTTCTCAGATCTAACACTGCCTTTCTGCCAGTGATCCACCCACAGCTCTAAAGCCTCCTTCTTCTTCTCTCTTATCCCTTTCTCCATTGCCCATTCTCGATGAACAGCCAGAAAGAGTCTATTGGCTCATGCCTGTCATTTGGGAGGCTGAGGCAGGAGGATTGCTAGAGGTTCCAGACCAGCCCGGGCTACATAGGTCACTCTGACCTAAAGTGCAATGCCCTTAAATAAACAAACAAACAAACAAACAAACAAATAAATAAATAAATAAATAAAATAAAATAAGAATCTGGATATGTCACTACCTGCTTACATTTTCTCTGTGGCTGCCTGTTTCACTGGCAGTAAAGACAGGGCTTCCAGACCAGCTTCTATGCTGTCTCGCCCAGGCTGCTTGCTCTCTAGAGTGACTTGAACACTGTCACTTCAACAGAGTCTTTGTGGCCATCACACCTCACCGACAGGTGAGAATCGCTCCTTCTAGTGACCATGGTGCAGAACCTTCCGGGTAGCACTGTAGACGCCCTTCCTCTTGGCAAAACGGTCCAACCAAATGCTGCTTCCTCTGTGAAGTCTTCTTCCGCACAGCCTCCCCAAGATCGTTCCTTCCCATTGTATCTGCAGGCAACAGAGGCAGCCCCACGGTGGCTCCTGTCAGCTTGCTCCTCTTGCCGTGGGTCCCCACACTCAGTGCTGTCCTCATAGAAGCTGCTGGAGACAGGAGGCAGTGAGGAGAGAGGACATTCTTGGAGCCTGACCTGTGCTAAGTGCTTGGATATGCCCTCGCCTTACTCTTCAGAACCCCATAGGGTCAGCTCCCCTAGAAGCTCCATTTTAAAGAGAAGCCAACGAAAGTCTGAAGAGATTTAGCCATGTGTCCTGCCCGAGGTCACCAGCCAGTCTTCCTGAGCTGAGCAGGAGCCGTTAGTGAGTACCGGCAATGACTATATATAGCACCTTTCACATGCCAGGTACTGGGCTGGGGCTTGCACACATTCCATCCTCCCTGGGACATCCACTGCACTCCACCTCAGGGCTGGGAAACTCAGCTACAGGCACTCAGGAAGCCAGTCACAAGAGGGTCAAGCTTTGCCTTGTACTCTCTGGGGCCCCTGTCATGACTGCCACACTGTGTTATACTGAGACATAGCAGAGTCCTCCCTCTGGCCGACCTGGGAGGTTATTAGCACCCCAACACCTGGGCTAGCCTCCAGCCCTGGGAGGTCCTGGCTAGTGGGTGTGTAACGAATGAGGGAACAGGTGGTTGGGGATATGGGCCCTGCCCCAGCCATTCTGCAGCTGATTCCTGAAACCCAAAGGTACAGCCACCCCTCTCCTAGGCACAGTGACCCCCAGCACCCTGTTGTCCAGACAGCCCTAGGGAAGGAGCAGATCCATAAACATGAGGTTCCTCAAGGGCTCAGGAGGGGCACTGGGCGCTGTACAAGTCCTCAATATTATTGCTTTATTGTCATTTAAATGGAGCCTGCCTCAAACAGGCCACCCAGTTCTAGCCACCAGCGCTGGACAAAACCTCCATTGAAAAGCCAATTACAATCACTCCATCTAAATTGTCATGGATTTGTATAGAAAATTACATCTCCATTTAGTCCTGAAGCAACGTCCTGGGCATGGACAGAGGGGAGGCTGGCCCATTTACCTCGCCAGCTCAGCGCGGGTGCCGCAGGCAGAGAGAAAGCCCAAGCTGCCGGTCTTGGCTAGCCCAGGAACAAAGGCCAGTTTGTGGGGGCCCAAAGAGAGGCTGGGCCTCTGAGGGCGTCTCAGATTCCAGGCCTGGGCCCACGGACCCTGCACTGCCAGCTGGTCTCCCCTGCTGGCGGCTCTGGCCAGACAAGCTTCTGACAGCCGGCCTTAGGCGGCCGCCGTCAGCCCTGCCACTATCCAAGGGGCCTGGAGCTGGGCTCAGGTCCACACTGCCAGGAAATGAAGGAGGTTAGCCTGGGGATCACCGGCCTAGGATCTTGAGAGCTTGGGTCATTCATTCATTCGTTCATTCATCACTGTTGCTAAAGGGTCTTTGGGCAGTATGAAAAGCATAGTAACATAGACATGAGCTCCGGCCTCAGGTGTCCTGGGTTCCAGTCCAGACTCTGTCCTTAGTAGTCTTTTCAGTTCTGAAATAGTTGCTGAGCACCTGCCTACTCTATGCCACAGAAGAGAATATGGCTGAAGCCAGGACAAAATGCCGTGTCTCCTTGTCCCTTAAAGCCAAAGGGAGATGTGCTCTTTTGTGAATGACCCAGACTCTGAGGGAATGAACAGGAGCTGCTTGAGTTTTGTAGAAGACTTGTGTGAGTAGACAGTCCTAAAGGAATAAGCCGGAAGGGTCCTCCAGGCTGAGGAAACAGTCTGTGTATAGACAGGGGCAGTTGGGCTGGCTGGAACAGCAGTGAGCAGTTAGGGCCTCTATGGGCTGCTTCTCTAAGACTTGGTTCACTCATCTGTAATGTGTGCATGGTGGTAGGGCTATTCCAGCTAGTCTTATTAGGGTTAGTCCAAGGCCTTGCCCAGGCAGACCGCAAAGAGTATTTGTTGACATACTCTTGCTCACCTTGGGTGTATGTGATGAAGCCGGGGGTTCTGATACCATGCACTGTGAGTGTGACTGCATTTAATTGTGTGTGAGACTGTCCCATGACTCCATATGGTTGTGTGACTGTGAGGTCATGTGTTCACGTATGCAACTATGACTGTTATCATGTGTTGACAGTCACTCACATTTCCGGTGGCCTCACCCCCACACAGTGTTCTCAGACTGGCTGTATGTGGCTGGGTCAGACTGTGTGCCATGGCCTAAACATTGTCTGTCTGGGCCCAGTGGAACACCTGGCTGGGATGGCTGGCCAGCACAAAAGCAGCGTTAGGACGGGACAGGTGGGTGCAGTAGGTAAGGAGGGCAGAGTTCCCATCCTCCCCCACCCAGCCCTACCAGGTAGACTGGCCAATGCAAAAACAACCCCATCAGGGACTGCTCTGTATACAGAAAACAAGTTCTTCTGGTATCAGCTCAAGTTTGGCAGGAAGTGGCTTTTGGGTGGCAGGAAGTTGGATTCAGCTCATATCAGCGCCAACCGAGGGAGCAGGGGAGCAGTTATCTAGGGTTAAACAGAGTTACCAAGAAGTGGGGCCCACCACCTCCCCATCCCGATAGTGTTGAGGGCCAGCCCACCGCTCCCGGTCACTTGGGATGGGATAGTGATAGGTTGGAAAGAAGAGCCGCCCCAGGCACGTACCAACCAAGTCTAAGGCGCACACAGCCCATTATCCACCTCTCATTATCCCCTTTTGGTCTATTCATGAACACAGACTTGTCCAAGGTCACCAAAGCAAGGGGCTCACAACTACCTAAAGATAAGAAAACCCAAGCAGAGGGACAGAGAAAAGACGGACCTGGGACAGAGCTGGTGAGAGAGCAATGAGTGTCGGTGGAGACCTGTAGTATGCCCACAGGGTGCAAGGCCAGCCCATGGACATCACAGCTGACCATGAGGTTCTGAACCCATTTTCCAGATGAGGGGCCGGTAAGACTGGAGTGCCTCACATGTTGAGCCAAACCTAGGCTTGATTCTAAAGCACAGGTTTTTTTCCAGGCCACTTCCTGTGCCCAACTTCTAGAAGCACAGTGGCTATCTAAAGGCGACGCCCCACTGAGGAGTTGACCCACTTGTCCAGTGGCAAGCCAGGGTCAGACTTGAACAGGGTGGCTACTTGTACCATGCAACAGAGAGTGCTCAGCTCTGGCAGTGCAGACAGAGAAAGTCAAGGCCCTGCCCTTGGGTTGGTACTCAGCCACTGGAATGGGTTTTGTAACTGGTCAGAAGCAGAGTTCTCCTAAGGCCCAGCCCTAGACCAGCTGTGTCCCTGACCCCGACTCAAGCCCCTGGCAGGGAGGCTTCTGGCCCTGTCCTCATCCCTAAAGCAGCACCAAGCTGTTCTCTGGCTGAGATGCTGATTTGAAACTCAGTTTGCATGTCGTTTGCACATTACTCTGTGTGTCAGAAGGTACGAACATCTCCCTTTCCGGGAGAGGGCTGCCTGCCGGAGGCCCCCCTGCCCTCCTCCAGACAGCAAAAATGCCAGCCGGCTAGACGGGAGCTACGCCCTGGCCTCTGATAGCACCCGCCTGCTGCCACCTCCCCCATTCCCTCCTCGAGCCAAATTTAGGCTGCTCTGCTACTGAGAGATGGGGAGAGAGGAGGCAGGAAACCCTGAGCTGGAGCTGCTGAGCCAAGGCCCTATAGGGTGGGGCTGCCCTAGGGGTACCCCTGTCCCTAAAGCCCTGGGCCTAGCCTCCCCCCCACCTTTTTCACACTGGAAAGAAGCCCAGTTGGGGAACACTGGGTTCTCTGCCACAGCCCAGGGTGCTGGCTGCCTTGTCCATCATGGATGAGAGAGAGAGAGAGAGAGAGAAGAGGTCATGGTCAGGGCAGTGGGGAAGGGATCAAATAGCGTCCTCCTGCCCCAGACACTCGCCGCCATTGGGTCCCAAGAGCTGGCTCTGCTTATCTGTACTTCCTGCCTTTCCTTGGCATGCCCCCCTTATTGTGGGGTGGGAGGCTCTGGGTCCAACTGAGTCTGAGGGGACTGACCTCTTTCCCAAGGTTCCATCACGCCGTGGGCCAGCTTCCTGCCTTGGTTTGTCTTAGTTTTTCTATCTGGGAGACAAGGGAATGACTTCCAAGTGGCTGTCTATGCTGAGACCTAGGGTTTCTGGAAAGCTGAACATCAATTAGGAACAGTGGCTTCAGGCCTAGAAGCTTCCTGGATTTTTCAGGGACTAGGAGAGGTGACTTGTAACAATGCTGGGGACAGGACTGAGTAAGCTGAGCCAGGAGAAACAGGGGAAAGACGTGAGCCGGATTGCAGCCACCTCAAATCCAGAGGTGGGTTAATAGATCCCAGTACAGTAGCTGGGGCATGGAGCCTGGAGTAGGGCTGCCTGGGCTTGAAGGCCACCGTCAGTTTCCTGCATCTCTTTCCTCACCTGTAAGAGGAGAGTAATAAATTTCCAGGGTTGCTGGAAGGGGAAATGAGGCAGCGAACGTTTGGCACATAGTAGGTGCATCACGATGCCAGCCACCAGTGTGATTGTTTTGTCCCCCCCAGAGCAGTTGAGAAGTCCCAGGGTTGTAACAGATGTGAACGTGAAGGGAAGGCATTGAGGCTCCGTGGCCAAATGGGAGCCATCAGGATGGGTGTTCAAGTCTGCATGACCCTGGGCAAACGGCCACACCCCGCTGAGCCTTGGGAGAGGAGCAGCGAGGCGCTTACCTCGGAGGGTCTGGGAGGACTGCGCGAGCTCAGGGTTGGCACGGCGCCTGGCACATAGCGGGCAGTCCCTGAAGGATCCAGTGGTACCGCCTCGCACAAAGGACAGGTGGGCAGCGTCGGGGTGGAGGGCGGAGCAGGGCAGGTGTGCCGAGAGCGAGGAGGCGGGGCAGGAGCAGGGAGGGAGAAGGTGGACGGGCGCGCGCAGCAGGTGCGCGTGGGATGGGCGGGGCCCCCGAGCGGGCGGGGTCTCCAGGTACGCGGGCATGCGCCAAGAAGCGGGTGCCCGGGGCGCACGGCCGCAAAGCGTCCCTGTGTCTTTAACGCCCCCCTCCCCGCGTCCCCCTACCCCTTTGTGCACCCCCTTCCCAGCCGGGCAGCAGCCGCGGAGCCGTCCCCCCTGCACTGACAGCTGGTATCTAATTACTGTGTGAGAATGGAAAGTCAGGCTGTCCCAGCTCCGGGGAGAGGGGATTAACGTCTCCTGCAGAATACACTTCCTCTGGTGGGTTGCCATGGTTACTCTCATTACCTGCCTGCCCGCGAGGAGCCGCACGAGCCGCTCCAGCAGGCCCTCGGAACCCGGGCCCGGTCCACGCCCGCGCGCGTACTCGCCCCCGCCCGCGCGCGCGCGCGCGCGCCTGTCTTCCCCGCCCCTTCCCTCCGGGAGCGCACGCGCGTGCGCCGTGGGGAGTGCGAGCGGTCTCACCCCTGCCCCTCATCCCGCCCAAGCAGCTGTCAGCGGCGCGCGCGGCCCGCCGGCCCCTGCGCGCGCTGTCAACAGTCATTAGCGCGCGGGACGCGCCCCTCCCCCTCGGTCCCCCAGCCCGGGGTGGGGCCCGCACCTGGGGCCCCCTGCTCGTTAGCGCACCCGGGCCTCCAGCTTAGGTCCGGAGGGACCTGTCGGGCTCAGAGCCTCCTCCTTCTACCTAGAACCCGTTCAGAGGTCCGGTCCCCGAGGGAGGCGGGACCCCAGAGTCTCAGAGGGCGCCCCTCCTGCAGTGGTGACGACAGCGGTCATTTATGAAATGTCTCAAGAGGGCAGGCATGTTTGTGCTTCGTTCCGGGTTCCCGCAGCCCTCCTGTGAGGTGGTGAAAGCCATGGCGCACTTGGTGTCCTTTCGCGCTTGAGGAAACTGAGGCGCAGCCCCTCCTCGTCTGAGGGCAGGGCTGGATTGCCTTCAGGCTCTGACTCACTTCTAGGAGCACTCTTACCGCTCAGATCAGGCCGGTCCCTGACCCTGCAGTATCTCTCAAGGGAGGCTTCATCCCCGCCTGGCACTTACTTCCCCCGCCCTTCTCTTTCCCAAAAGGGTTGCCTTAGCCCGCTGCACTCCCTCCCTTTCCCCTACCCTGTCAGGAACCCCAGAGTTAAAGCCAAAAGAAAGAAAAAGAAGAGCAGAAAAGGAAAAGGCTCCTGGGAGCAGCTTGAAGGATGTGGCACCTCGCTGTGGCTTCGGGGTCCATCCCAGGCACTTTCTCTGTGGGCCCGGGCGTGCATGTTGGTCCTCGGCGTGATTTGAAAGAAGATAGAGGTTCAGCGAAGCAGAAAGGAGGTCTTGGAATATGTGAGGCTGTTCCAGATGGCAGGTGCGACTCGATGGCAGTGCTCCGCACTAACAGTTGGAGATTGAGCACAAGGGTGGATAAGAGGCAGGTGCTACATTGAGTCCTCAGTGCCTTGCTTATGCATTTATTTATGGGTGTGGGGAGGGGTTCCTCCCACTGCCCCCTCCAGGTCTGAAGAGCTCAGTGGCACTGGGGGCCAGAGAATTCCAGTGTGAGCCTTTTTTTTTTTTGAAGGGATTGCTTGTTTTCAGTTAGGTAATATTTAGAGTCAAGAGAAATAAAAACACTGTCCTTGTATTTGAGCAGGGCCCTCCTTGGCCATCTGATTGCAACCTTACAAGCCATCACCAGCTTCTCCTGGGACTCTGGGAGAGACTTTCAGAGGTTGGGGTGATGCTCTTTCGGTCTGCTTTTCCATATCTCAATTTTCTGTGGTTTTAAGATCTCTCCACCTCTTCCTACCCCTCTGTGGCTCCTCTGCAGGGGCTAACTCCCCCCCTTAGGTTCTTCCTTTAGCTCTGCTCAGGGGTTGGAATAAGACTCCCTTATCCTGAAACTTCCCAAACTCAAGTCCTGGCCACATTGATTAAAGCGGGGAACAAGCCCTGTCAGTGCCTGGGAGGAGCACGCCCAGTGCCTTTTGCTGTGTTCTCAGCCTCTTTTCTGGCTGGCCTAGATGGGATGGAGCAGCATCATTGAGTTTGCCTGCGCAATCAACCCCCTGAAGTCCCAAACTCCCACACAAGTGGAAGCCAAAGGTTTGTCCCCTGGGGTGTGTTCTGCTGACTGATGCCGTCCTGTAGCAGCAATCCCGTTGATTTTCATGCCTCGTTAAGAGTTGGATCTGGAATGCACCAAGAGCGCATATTTTAAGGACATCCTCTCAACCACGGCCTCCTTGTGGCTGGGAAGCATAGTTCCCTCTTATAGTGATGAAGCTATGCTAAAAGGTGTCCCGTGGCTTGAAACAGTGTTCTCACCTTGATAAGTATGTAACTTGTTACCAGCCAGCAACGTCAAAGTTGCAGAGATGATGACTTCCATTAGGAATTGGACTGTGCTTGCTATCAAGGCCAGGGGTCCCTTCAGTTGGCTTCTGTAGGAGATGGACAGGATTCCGTCTGAGGGCTTGACCCAAGGGATACTCCCAAGGATTGCCATGAGGCCACCTGGCAGGAGCCTAATGGCCTGCCAAGATGCCCTGGTTCCTCTCATTGGTCTTCAACCCTGTATATAACAGTCTCCTTTTGATGAGTATTCTGGTCACTTGAAAAAACTGAGGAATCCAATCCCTCCTAAAGTAACTTTGGCAGGAAGTCAAAGTGCAGGGTCAGGCTTGCGGGGGGGTGGGGGGTGGGGGGGGTGGGGGGGGTGGGGGTGGGGGGGGTGAGGCGTCCCTGTCCGTGCACCTGTGATCCACAGTAAGTCTCTGGGCAGATTTCTTGAATTTTAAAACATCAGACTTGGTAGGCTGAAGTAGACCATGGAAAATATGCATTTTGTTTGTTTGTTTGTTTTTGGAGGCAGAGTCTCATGTACCCTAGGCTGGTTTTGAGCTCCCTATACAGTTAAAAAAAAAAAATGGCTTGAACTTCTGATGCTCCTGCCTGCACTCTGTAAGTGCTGGTATCATGGGTGTAAGTTACCATGTACAGTTTATGTGGTACCAGGGATTGAACCCAGGACTTCATGCATGCTAGACGAGCACTCTACCTACCAATCCATATCCCCAGCCCCTAAACACCCATTTTTTTTAAGAACTGCTCATATGATTCTTTTTTATATATTTTATGTGCATTGATGTTTTGCTTACATGTATGTCTGTGTGAGGGTGTTGGATCCCCTGGAACTGAAGTCACAGACAGTTGGTGGATGCTTGTGTATGAACCATGTGGATGCTTGGAATTAAACCCAGGTCCTCTGGAAGAACAGCCTTTGCCACTGAGACATCTCTCCAACTCCGCCACTTTTTAAACTTTTGTTTATTTGTTTTTGTTTTTCAAGATGGGCTTTCTTTTGTGTAGTCCTGGCTGTCCTGGAACTCACTCTGTAGACCAGGCTGGCCTCAAACTCAGAGATTGACCTTCCTCTGCCTCCTGAGTGCTGGGGTTAAAGATGTGGGCCACCACCGCTCAGCACTCATATAATTCTAATGCTGCTTATGTAGGACCCACACTCGGAGGACCAGAGTTCTACATATTCTGAAATATCAGTTACATGTAAAGTAGACATTTTGAGATTGCTTCAGTTGTGTGCAACCCAGCTTTTGGATCAGAATTCAGATGGGCTAGCTTTAAGGGCGTTGGCAACGTCTAAGAAAGTTAGTAGCTCTACAGTTTTAAAAATGAATGCCATGTCCAGTTAGGTTAGTTTGGGTCTGGTTGGTTGTTCTGGAGTTGGATGGTTCTGGAGTATGTTACCATGGCAATGTTCTTCCCTACAGAGAAAAAACTCCCATTGACCTGGTATTTTTCATGTCCTTCCCTATGAAATGCTATAGAGTTTCTTTCCATCATTCCCACGTAGCATTTCTGAAAGCTGGATCATTAGGAGAGTCCAGGTCCTCTCTGATTCAGTCCCCTAAGTACAATGAACTTCCTTTGTCAATACAGTGTGCAGCTTGTTTAAAGCAGGGGATTAAATGATACTGGCTTGGGTACCAGGCAGAAGTGGGTTGGCTGGGGCATCCCAAGGCTAAGGAGAGGTCTGGAGATGCTGTTCAGCGGCAGAGTGCTTGCCTGGTGGGTACAAGGCCCTGGACTCAAAATGGTCAGTACAGGGCAGGGATGGGGGGTGGACAAGGTTCCCAAGGCTTTCAGGAAGACACTTTGTGTTCTTTTAATTAGCAGCTCTCTCATATTTCTGTCTGCATTCCCAGCTAGGGAAGGCATGCCCCTCCTGCAGCATTTACCATAAAGGTCATTACCTTCATGGATGCAGGGCCTGTGACTGCTGCCAGATCTCTTTGTTACCATCTTCCTGGGGCTCTTGTTGAAGGCCAGACAGACATTCTGGTGTTCTTCCTTTAGGGTGTTAAGCACACAACCTCCAGGTGGCCACAGCTCACTAGAGGGCTATCAATGTATGCCTCTGCAAACCTTGTGTGGTCTGAGTTCTGTTTGTTACAAGCCTTTCCCTGCTAGAGACAGGACCCAAGGTTGAAAATAAGAAATCAATCTTTTTTTTTTTTTTTTTTTGACAAGGTCTTCCTGTATGGCCCCCAGTCTGGTCTGGAACTCTCTATATAGCCCAGGCTGGACTTGGCCTTGAACTCCTCCTTCAGCCTCCCAAGTGCTGGGATTACAGGTGTGGGTCACCATGCCCGGCCAAGCAATCAATTTTTAAAGAGGTAGTTACTGATAAATGCTCCCTTGAAGTTTCCCTGGGATAATTTTCTTGTCACACTGGACCAGGTGCAAAGCCACTGCTTAACCAAGTGTGCCTAAGAATAGAGGTGGGAGGCTAGGCCAGGGGCAGAACAGGCACTGGGTAATATATTTTGCTCTTGTATCTAGGTACATTCATTTTGGGAGTTTTTTGTTTGTGTGTTTGTTTTTTTTTTTTTTTTTTTTTTTTTTTGGTTTTTCGAGACAGGGTTTCTCTGTGTAGCTTTGCGCCTTTTCTGGGACTCACTTGGTAGCCCAGGCTGGCCTCGAACTCACAGAGATCCGCCTGGCTCTGCCTCCCGAGTGCTGGGATTAAAGGCGTGCGCCACCACTGCCCGGCTTTGTGTGTTTGTTTTTTGAGACAAGGTTTCACTTTGTAGTTCTGGCTGGCCTGGAACATACATACATACAGACAGATAGGTAGTATATACATGCAGCAAAACACATAATAAATAAATAAATCTTAAGAAAAATTCACAGAGATAGATACACCTGCCTCTGCCTGTGTGTACCACTACACCTGACAACTATTAGTTATATTTTGAACTCAGGAAAAACTTAACCTGTCCAAGTTTGAGGACAGCCTTAACATATTATTTAAGAATTAAATTAAATTAAATTAAATAAGACTATGCATCTCTCCTGAATGTGGATATTACCTTATGG